AGACAAGATGAACAGTTTTGATAACTGAAGACTTGTTATTCAAAATTTGATCTTTTTAAGTAGATTTGCAATAATACTTACCAGAGTAATATCTTTTTGCTAGTATTTAGTTTGAACTTTATGAATTTTCCCTGTTTCTGTTAGATACTATCTACCTGTTTCTTACAGAAATCACTGAAGTAATAGAATTTTAAAGAATTTCACTTTCTGTTATGACTATAGGTTAGGAAAAAAATACTGGCTCTTATTTCCTGCAATCATAATTCTGCTTCATACATCTCACTTATGATCATCAGCCCGATACATTTTTTCCCAAATAGCTTTCTTTTTACTTACATTTCATATTTTCCAACTTTTTAAAAAGTTTGATATATGCCTGTCTTTTTTGGTAAGAAGGTAAAGATACACTGATTCTACAATATTCTGTAACGCATTCCACTTTAAGTACTGAAAATAACCCCTCAGCACATAGTCTAAATATATTACTCACTTCTGTAGTGCAGATGTGGTAGGATTTACCACACCTAACTCTAACATGGAGGCATATATTCAAATGAATCTTTAACTGCTCTTATAGTCAGCAGAACAAGCAACCCAGAAAGAAATTTGTTCTGCTTTAGACAACTCTCAAAAATGGGGTTGTATTGTTTTCCAAAGACGTCCATCTATTACAGCTATAGAATGTACAGAGAACCTGGGCAGCTGACCCAGCTGAATCTCTGTCATTGGGTGAGATGAATCCCATGCAGAGGGACACAGGTTGTGGAATAGAATAAGATGTTAGTTTAAGTTTATGAGGTCTGTGTTCTATGGCGACATGAATTTGCTTTTCGTATTTGCATGCAGCATTGCGGTAATGAACATTGCCTGTGTCACGGCCAAGATAACCATGCATTAAGTTATCCATATGTGTGTGCTCACTAAAGAATGTATGTTGGGTGTATTTCATGTGATCATTGTTTGAAGTCTAGAGAATCATGCTGGTGTTCAACAAAGATTAGGACTGCTTATTGTGCTTTAAGAATTTTTTTTCATATCTGATTTTAAGATGCAGTAATTGCATTGCTGTTAGAATTATTGCTATGTAAGAACTGAAACAATATATAATTAAACAGCGTTTTCTACCATAACCTCTCTGCTTATATCATGACTGCTAAACTGTATGTATAGGTTAATTTGTAATGCGTACCTGAGAGATGTGTGTTTGCTTGGTGTTTACTGAGTTCTGAGACTGATAAAGACAAGTGGTATTCAATGAGACTTTACTTTTTATTTTTTGCTTTCTTGAAGGAGAAAAAGAGTACCAGGCACTAGTTTATACGAGAATGAAATAAAATGTTAGCCAAGCAGTTCAGGTAGCTGGCCAGTCTGGAGTGAGCATTAGTGACTTAGAGTGAGAGAGTGCATGCATGCATGCATAAGTAGGTAAACATGTTTCTCTGTGGATATGCCACAGCTGGGCAAACACATAAGATGCTGAAGTCTACTTGTAAACAAAGTCATCTACATACTTTTTTCCGGGCGAGCCAGAACTGGACACTGCACTCCAGGTGTGGCCTTACCAGTGTTGAGTAGAGGGGAAGGATCACCTCCCTGAACCTGTTGGCAACAATCCTCCTAATGCAGCCCAGGATACTGGTGGCCTTGTTTGCTGCAAGGACTGGCTCATGTTCAACTTGGTGTCCACCAGGACCCCCAGGTCCTTTTCTGCAAAGCTGCTTTCCAGATGGTCGGTCCCAGGGTGCATGGGGTTGTTTCTCCCCAGATAAAGGACTTTGCACTTCCCTTTGTTGAGCTTCATAAGATTCCTGTCAGCCCATTTCTCTAGCCTGCTGAGGCCCCTCTGGATGGCAGCATGACCCTCTGGTGTATCAGCCACTCCCTTCCAGTTTTGTGTCATCAGCAAACTTGCTGAGAGTACACTATGCCTCATCATTCAGATCACTAAAGGAGATGTTAAACAGGACTGGACGCATTATAGAACCCCTGGGTACACCACTCATTAGTGGCCTCCAAATAGAGTTTGTGCTACTGATCATCACCATCATGGGTCTGCTCATTCAGCCAATTTTCAGTCCACCTCACTGTCTGCTTGTCCACCTTATTTTTTAACAGGTTAAGGACATCTACAGATTATTACCATTTTCTCCTTGGGCCACTCTAAAGTTTGTCATTCCATTTCTTCACCAGTAGTTCTAAATAACCTGGCACAGATTTTTGCAACTCATAAGAAGTTTCAAATGTAATGCTGTGCTTCACAGAGACTTTCCACAAAAGCTTACAGTAACTAAACATGGCAGGAATGCAAAGTAAAATTTTGGATAACCTTTATTATGCTGGTTTTTTGTTGGTTTCAAAAGAGACTTTCAATGCTTCAACAAGGAGCCACAGAACTTCTTTTGGCTGCAAGAACTTCCATTTACATAACCTTTACAAATTTTCACATTTCTTGTGAAAATTCCTGGTTTCCTCTTTACATACTCCATTTCCCCATCAAGGAGACTGCCATAAAAAAATTTACATGTATTGCATTCCCCTCAAGGCCCATTTCCTCCTGGTTTTCTCTCACATTATAAGTGATCAATCTTATTTTTCACAGCGGAGTTTTCCTGTCTTGGGAAGTTTTCCTAACGGGAACATGATTTTCATCAGGACTATCTGTCTATCAGAAGATCTAGCCAGCCAGTGTTTAGATATCATTAAAAGGATTCTGGCTCAGCCATACAGATAATAATAATTTGATTGAATTACACACAGAAGAGCTGCTAAAGTATAATCTGTTTAATGGTAAATTATTTAAAAACCAGACATTTGCTGGGTAAATATGCCTAAACATGGTTGAATTTCCAGCACCTCTGATAATACCTTATTATAGACTTAGGTTTTATTATAATAATGTTAGTATACTATTAATGTTTAATGAAGCATACCACCTCAGGTGTCATGCATTTTATTTCACTATCACTCTTGAGATGATCAAAGGTTGAAAAAATATCATTTTTCAAAACTGAGCTGAATCTACCATGTTTCTAGAATTTTAACAGATTGTGCACTTCTACGTGGTTTTGTTCTAATTGTGTGGTTAACAAATGAGAATACACCTTCAGAATTGTTTTGCAGGACAAATCACACGGTCTAGATTACACTCCAGCCTGGATTATTGCTACTAGCTTTCCTTTACACGAAAATTCCTTCACATGGGAGAAATCCTGTCAGGACATTTTTCTCCTTTATTCCTCCTCTGTACTTTGCTAATGTGGTGGAGTGTTTTCAGTAGATCAGTGACCCTTGTAAACTCAACAAAAAGAAGAAATCTAATGGTTACACTAGGCACGGTTTGGATGTTAGTTTGAACCAGTAGTCAAAGTAGGTGTCCTGTAAGTATCTTGCTTTCAGCACTAGATATCAACATCTGGGTATATTAACCAACATTTTTAATTACATTTAGTGTTGTTGGTTATCATATTTACCTACTAATCTATAAAACTGACTAACAATTATTGCTAATTACCTACTCAATTATATTCGTAGTCCCTTAAGTTCATGAGTATTTACTCATGATTTATATTGAGATACTGTAAAAGATAACTGGGAAGAACAACAGCAGCCTTGCTGAAGAGGAACAGTTTAAAAAAGTTATTCTACTACTCCAGATTTTGAAGTCAAGACATTCTCACTGTTCAGGTTAAAACGGCTGATTTTGCTTATACAGCACTAGACTTTTTCAGGAGATTATTTGGTTCTGATTCTTACTGTCCTGACTCTGCTAAGACTAGAGGGGAAGAGCAGTTTTGATAGTGGGTTGTTTATTTTTCCATTTGATAAATTTCCTTCTTCCAAACTTTCTGTTTATAGTTTTATATATAGCTTTTTCTACATGACCCAATCTGAAACAATAAGATCAGTTCCATATGTAACTACACGGCTCAGACCTACCTTGGTTTTCCTCTTGTCCAAACCTTTTGAGGCCTGGGCAGTAAGTATGTGGCCCAGGAGATGCTTAATGCAGAGTATTTGTATATAAATGTTTATCATTGAATTTGGAAGACCAGATCCTATAAACTTTCCAGAAAAAAAAGTAAAGGTCAGTTGATTTCTTTCATGTTTTTTCCTCTCTCCTGAAATTGAAAAAAACAGTGCAGAACATTGATTTTAGGTAGAAAAGCACTGCAAGAGATAAAAATCTCCCAGACAAGACCAGTTTATTCTGAAGAGATCACCTTCTCTTGAAATACTTTAGCCTCTTTTTCATTTCTGGTTTCGGACAGTATCTTCAAACTGGGCCAAATTTTGTGAAATGATGATTTGTCAGTGGATAGCTGCCCATTGAATTGTAGGTCTAAGACCAAACTCATTTAATCTATGTGCTATATCTGACTATAAAAGCATGATACAAAACATCTCAGATGGTAAATATAATCACTTTTATCTGATCAAAAATAACACATGTGTTAGATTTATTACCTTGTTAGCACAATGAATTCCATGGTGAATCCTTGTGGTATGTATTCTGGGAAGACCAAATGGATACTCCTGACAAATGAAGTATCTCCTCTTTGTCAGTAGGGATGGCAGGGTACTCATAAACATAGAATGAAGTTCTGATTTCTCTAGTTAACTTAAATGCTATAATCATACTGAAAAACTTAAAATAAGCAAAAAGGATTCAGAATGGAATAGATCTGTAAATATATCCTCTTTCATTAGAATGATGTATTAAAATATCATGTGGTTAGCTGTGTGATGTTCTTGCTAGTGTATGCAGAAATATTTCTGAACTCTTCTGAAAGAGACAGGGAAAAGTAGGATTTTGTAACAGAAAAAATATAACTTGGTATGATAGTATCAGTAATTTCTGCATTAATAATGAGTGTAACATTTCTCATTCCCAAGAACTGTATGTATAATTATGTCACTGAAGTGCACTGTCAAATTTTAACACATTGACATTCTAGCCAAGATATTGAACAAAACTAATTTTTTCTTTCTCAATTTTTAAGATCCAGATTTTAAGGACCTTGGCGTTTTGAAACCATTGCCAGGTTGGTATGTTGTGATTTTTTTTTTTAACTTGGAGGCCTTTACACTTTGCTGTAGAAAATATTTTTGTTTGCTGTTCAGGTTTCATTTTTTCTGATATTTTGTTATTCAGTTTGTGAGTTTGAGATGGGAGGACCTGAAGGAATTGTGGAATCTGTACAAATTGTTAAAGAAGGAAAAGCTTCTGAAACTGAAGCTGTAGACTGTAAATGGTACATCCGAGCACCACCCCGATCCAAGGTCAGTCCTTCATCCACTCGCTGATTTGCTAGTTACTTTAAGAAATTGACTTTTCTAATATGTTGTGCATTTCTTAGTCCACTCAGATCTTGTTTAATAACTTTACAACTTGAAATTGTAAACTATTTTTTTTTCCTTCTGCTGTGGAAGGGTAATTTGTCATCTCAGCCAAAATAAGCTTCTTTCTCTGCAAAAAATGGTGCGGTCAGCGTTCATGTGCTTTTTGTGCCATAAGTAATTTTCTCAAATTCATGTTTAATTTTTCTCATATTTTTAAAGAATCAATGTGTTTTCTTAAGAGGGAGGTAATTTTATCACTCTAAGTTTCAATGTATTTCGTATACCTAATATAGAGACTACTAAGAGAACAATGCTGTCTCCCTAAGGTCATCATTATTTCTCATCTGGGAACTGTGAAGATGGAGCCAAGGTGAATTCATGTTCCTCTGTATGAGACCTTTAGTTCCTTTGGTTTAGAGCCACAGGCAAAATGAGTTAGTGTTCTTGTTTCTTTCTCACCACAGTCAGCAAGCCATGCCTGTTTAACAAACAGGAGATGGCTGAAATGAATTTAACAACTCTTTTATTAGATTCTGTTGGAGTTCCTCTCTTTATCCACGGCTTATCAGTTATTATATGTATAAATTTTTGCTGGTTACACCACTGTTTCTCCTCTCTTTGCAACTGGAACAGCTTTATGCCTCCCACCTACCTTCATTCACTGTGTTAAAGGCAACTGCACATTACATTTTTCCTAGCTGTCTTTTATTGGACAAGAAAGGTTTTACAAGGTAGAATTTATATGATCTCTGCCATCTTTAAACAGGTAAGGGTCTTTCTTGAGTAGTCTCAGAGTAGACTGTACTGAATATATCTAACTGTTCCAGCATTTGGTATTGAATAAGCAGGAGGAAGGGTTTCCAGAAGAGAAAAAGTTATTAGTATCAGCATGTTTTTATTGTGAGTTCAGGAGAGGAGTTGAATAGTTGGCTCATAAGGACTACAGATAAATTGTTTCTAGAGTATACTTTGATAAATGTTTTTTTTTACTTCTGGATAAGTTCAATATTCATAGAATTTTTCAGTTAAGTAGATGAGCTTTTCACTTTGCTACAGTAAGTAGCTATAGACGTGAAATGACTGGACTGAAGTATGGTTATTGCGTATTTTATATACTTAGGTATTAGTAGAAAGAAATCAGGTAAACATATAATTAGAATTGTGCTTATTAGCATCCATGCAACTAAATAAGCTAATAAAATTGCCTTATAAACTTAATTTCAGTCTATGCTTAGTTGGTCAGATAATGTTGTTGTGATAGTCTTACTTGATCTAACTCTAAAGTTCTGTATGACTCAAAGTCCTGCTAAAAATCCCATATTTACTTACCCATAGGATTTATCCACACTTGAATACTAATGTAAAAATACATATTGTGTAGCTACATAACCATAACCACAGTCTTTAACAGAAGAATGCCACACTGTCACTATTCATAGAGAATTAAAGATTACTTACTTCTTCATGAACTTCTATACCTGCATTTAGTAGTGTTGGACTTCAAAAAATCTAGACCAGCTGAGGAGCACCTGGAAGGGAGAGCAATGAGAAAGTTCTAGAAAACCTGAGGAAAGACTGGAAGTTATTCATGGTCCTCTAGAAGATTTTGTGAAGGAGCATGATACCAGATAATAAAAGGCTTTTACAAAGAGGAAGGATTGCTCTGATGTCCACGTGCATAGGATAAACCATGGTCCAGCACTCCAAAAGAACAATTCAGGTTAGATATTAGGGAAGAAAGTTTTGAACAGCAGGGAGGGTATTATGAGAGATTGGTTAAAGAGTTTTGTTCAGCCAGCATTGCTAGTGATCTTTAAGCTAGGTAAAAATCCACAAAAAATAAGAACATTACTAATCTTATCTTTAGGCAGAGGCGTGGGCTGGGTCATCTCTTGATAAATCCTGCTACTCCCACCTCATAGAATTTTCTGGATAGAGAGATAGGGCAATATAAAAGCACATAAATAAGTATTTCCTAACATTTGAAGTTGAAAGCTTTCTCAGCAAGCTAGCAAAAAAAAAAACAAACAACTTTTCAAACAGATTCATCTTACAGGGATAACTCCAAATTAGCACTTGACCTTTCTTAGTATGGTTTTCACATAGATGTATTCATACACACACACATGCACGCGTGTATATGCACACAAACATATGGTTGTGGTATAGCCATACTGTGAAAGGTTGAAAAATTTTCAGATATTAAGGAAGAAATTAGTGGATAAAATTTTAAAAAAGCTTGTATTAAGTAAGATTCATGGTAAGAATTTTTATAGGCCTGATTCTATTGAGCTGGATTCTGTTGTCCATATTTTACAGTCAGCTTCCTTTATACTTCTCTAACCTTGAACTAATGACATATTCAACACAATAATTCAGTGACTTCATTCTAATTTATGACAGCTTGCACCTATGAAGACAGGCTTTCCTGCTAAGAACAGTAAGAGTTCAGCAGAAGTCTTTAAATCCACGTGTTCCTGTACTCTGGGCTGCACAGTTTGTTACTGGGAACTATGCCTAAAAGGCCAGAGTTTCTCAGACAGAGTCTGGGTTGGACCTTTACATCTTTAGTTTCTTAATTAAACCATGCCAGATTGTGGGCTGCTTGCAATTTCATTTGGCTTAAGCTCATCCAATCTAAGATGTCTGCAGAAACAAGATGCAAGTCCTTTCCTTAGTTTTCAATTCCAGATTCAAGCCAAGTCTGAACTCAGCATAAGAGCAATGAGATCAGTGGGGGAATATAAACTTGAGATGTCTAAACCTGAGCTTCAAACTGACAGTCTGGGTGTAACACTGCTGCTATCCTCAGCAAGTTGGAGAGGGACAGAGAACAGCAAATCTCTTGCACACACTTCAAATAGAGCCATCACTGATTACCTTACAGAAACAAAAGTAAAATACTGAAAATGCATGCAGAACTGAAAATTTCTGGAAGTGCAGAAGACAGAAGGCTGCAGTTTAAACATTACTTCAATCTATATGCAGACCTAGAGCTTTGTATTTGACAGTGACTGGTTGCAAATTGTGCATTTCTTGTAATCATTCGAATTCAGTTAAATGAGAAAGATAGCTATGAATCTGGAGTTCAGAAATACTGGGGGTTCTGCACTTCATATAGAAGCAGAGTTCAATCAGTAGAGAGCCAGAACAGAAAATGAAGAAGAGAGCTGCTGACAAAATGAGCCAGACTACCCAAAACAATAAAGAGCTGGAAGAGCCTCCCCATCCCAAAATACTTCAGTGTAGAACAAAGTCCAAAGGAGGAAGTAGATAAGGTTATTGCAATGGGATTTGAAAAATTTCAGAGATATCATTGGCTACAGCAGTGGATAAGCAAATAATCCTTGCTTTATGAATAGAAAATAAGAAAATTAAAATAATGATGGTATTTCCTGACTTTCTGTTAAGGGTGAAATGTTAGACGGTAATATTGATGACAAGCACTATTCTATTCTTGATATGTCAACAGAGTTTGACAAGACCCCCTAGGAAGACAGAATGCATGCTTGTGCTCAGGTAGCACTCCCTTTGGTGGGTAGCTTTCCCAGCAAGGTACATTTGTATCATGCTTGTTCTTTGAGAGGTTTCATAGGGGAAAAAAAAATATAGCAGAATTTGCTGGCAAAAGTAATAAAACCTTTACAAAGTTGATGTTCTGATGCTGGGTAAAAACAGTAAGGAGTGCTTATAATCAGAAGCTCTGGTCAGGTCAAGAAAGAGCACCTAAACTACAGATAGGGAAGCATTAATTTGAATCCAGACCAGTGGAAGATATCTGTTCAGGAGAAATGAGAAAGAAGTACATTTATACTGGGAAAATAGTCTAGATGCACCACAAGAAACAAAATGAAGTTGCAAGATAGTTAGGCAAAGTGATAACTAACTCTCCCACCCCACCTGACCATGCTACTGGACAAAGAAGAGCTCTTTACAAGTTATTGGATGCAAGACAATAATAAGCTTAAGTAATCCTCAGAAAGGATTAAATAATGAGTACCTTGTTTTGATGTATTATTACAGTATACTTAAACCTGAGCTGTCTATGAGCGGTGACTTTTTTTCAAGCAGAGCTGTTGGGGAGCAGTGGGAAGGAGAGGCACAGCACATGGTGGGCAGCCAGGGCGAGGGTGGCCATAGGGCCAGGACATGGCTGATGAGGAGAGCTGGACAGGCCCAGTCATGGCATCCGGGTCACAGTGGTGGCTGGGCTCGCTAGTGGCAATGGGGCCAGCCATATCTTGAGGTGGGGCAGCAGCAAGGCAAGCCAAGACTAGGGCAGTGAGGCTCGAGGCCAGGCACGGGCCAAAAACTCAAGTGGGACCAAGGCACTTGCACATTTGCAAAGGACAGTACTGCTACCTGGTAGAGGCTCTGAATCACTTGTCACTGTTTCATGGTGGAACTAGTATCCACATACCTGACCAAACAGAGAGATGATGCTTTTGGTTCCAGGTGCCTGACTTTGGTTTGGATGCAGTCTGGAGAGAGACTGAGCGGTTGTGCATGCATTTCCCAGACAGTGAGGAGGAAACTTGCAGTGAAGCAAATTGCAGAGCTACAAGTCTATATAAATCAATCTGACTAAAGCAAAGCATTTTCTGTTCTCACATGTGAAGCAGAAACTTGTGCTTTCAGATGAGACCTGCAAGAAAAACAGTTTAAGCTCTCAGCACTGGCAGACTAGCATATCCCGTATGTTTGGAGGCTGCTTAATCAGGTGTAGATAAGAAGTTTAAGCAGTACACTAAAATTTAATAGTAGCCATTACAGTGGGGATTGCTGAAATGTTAAAGAAAAATGAAATTTAGAGACTGAAAAACCTAGCAGCCAGAGACACTTCTACAGGCTTCAAATGAGCTCCATCTCTGAAGAAGCTCTGAAGTTTGTTAAGATTACGATAATGCAAATAATATTATGAATGAAAAAAACTGAACACA